TAGGCTTCTACTTCATGTTTATTTCCGTCATCAATATGAGAAAACTAGAATTTCGCAAAGAAAATTCTTCTTGGTTGTGACACAAACACTAGTGCAACAAGCCTCTTAACAAAAAGTACATTATGTTTATTTCCGTTACTAATACAAGAAAGCTAAAATTTCACAAAGGAAATTCCTCAAATTAATCAATCCTTTCAATGGATTTGCTTGTGACCCACACACATCATCAACGATGTATTGGCTACATAATGTTTTTTCTTGTCTTTAATCAGTGACAAACCACCTCTTCTCTAATCTATGACATCATAAAAAATTCACGTCAATCTATTTAAAAATTTAGTTGTTGGCAATAAAGTACAATCTGACATTAGTATCATGGTAAATATATAATCAATCCCATATAGCAGGATAAGACTATTTGTTGTTATTGTAATTTGAGATGAACATGTTCTTTTTATTACTCCTCCGGGTTAATTTGAGAAAAAAATTGATAAACATGTTAAATAGATCTTATATATAGGACTAACATCAACTTTTAAATTAGGTCATATATTAAGAACCGGAGGAGTATAAAAGATCTATAACACTCACATTAGTTACGTAATTTTTCTTTTTGGCTCGCCAAGTCAATTGCTGATCAATCAGTGACGGATTTATATGTAATTCTAAATGATCAATTGTTATCCCGTAGACTGCTATTTTGTTGTAGTAAGTTTTAAATTTCTGATTCTTCTTTGTGTAAAAACCGTTAACATGGAATACCTCCCTCATTATCTCTCAGCCAATATTATCATGACTTTCCTTCTTAAATTTACAAATTGAGTCTAAATTTACATATAAATGTTTTGAAAGTTACCCTTCACAATAATGTCATCCATTTTTCTACTGAAACATGAAAGCTTATTATACATCTTTCAACCTTTCATGCAATATATAACAACAATAGAACGGGGAAAAAAAAAGGATCAGGGCATGTTTGATTTCTTGTTTTCAAAATAATGTTTATTCTGAAAAAATAGAAAAACTTGTTTCAAAATGTGTTTTTGTTTGGTATTCTGAAAAATAAAATATCAGAATATCTTTTTGATATTTTATTACCTTTTGTTCTATAAATTAGAGAATAAGCGGAGAAACATCATGCTTTTATTAAACTCCAGCATGGTCCTTTGCAAACAAAACGCCATGATATAACTGTATTGCTCCAGTAGCTTTATGTTTCTTTTTTTCTCTACCACAAAATCGCGTATTCTTCTATTGCTCTTTTGATTAACTATTTTTCCTCCAGATTTTCTTCTTTCCTTTCTTTTATTTAATTTCTACAAAATGGAATATATATATATATATATATTAAATTTTGTAGCAAAGTGCCCCTTATCATATAACTGTATGTGCAGAGGGAAAAATATATAACTATTAATTAATCAAATGTAATCCACAACTAGGAACCAGTTTCAGTGATCATGACAGTGATGAGCACTATGATTTTCCTTAGATTAACTATTGCTCTTTTGATTAACTATTTTGCCTCCAGATTTTCTTCTTTCCTTTCTTTTATTTATTCTCTACAAAATGAAAAGGATATATATATATAAATTAAATTTTGTAGCAACATGCCCCTCATCATATAACTGTATGTGCAGGGGGAAAAATATATAACTATTAATTAATCAAATGTAATCCACAACTAGGAACCAGTTTTAGTGATCATCACAGTGATGAGCACCATGATACTCATCGAATCTCAACCATTCAAATTTAATATGAATGACTAAAATTTAATATTTGATATTTTTGTATTTATAAAAATGTTTTCTTTTAATAGGCACATAATTCAAATTAAACGTAATATCTTAACTGTAAGTTTTTTAAAAAAATAAATTTTTATTTAAAAATTACTAGTTAAAAATTTTAAATTTAGACCATAAAAACTATATCTCAATGATTTAGATTTCACTTCAGTGATGTGTGCCATGGTGCTCATCACCGAACCTAGTTCCCTATAAAAGATGCACTCGTCATGTAAAATGATTTGGAAAACATTTGAAATTTCTAATCAATGCAGATTTGATGTTGCAACGAAAATCAACACAATGGGCGCTTCACATGTTTTAAACTTCGCAAAGTGTTGTCCTCATTTACTAGCTCTTCTCCACGTGTCAACAGTACGTTTTAATTAGTCCTTTAACTTTATACAATGTTTCATTATAGTTCTTTAACTTTAAAAGTGTTTTTCCGGTCTTATAAGACCACTAACAGAAGATGCTGGTATTGAAATTTTAAATATTAGTATGTTAAGTTTAATTTTTATAAATAAACATAAAAAGTTATCATTTGATACTAATGGTATTAGGATTGAAAGATTGGAAAGATATTTTATTATATTAGAGATCAAACTAAAACTTAGCATAAAGTTAGATATGTACTTTTGTCTTTAATATCATTATCTTTTGCAGACATGCAACCAACTTATTCTGTAATATAATTCTTTCAGCATTTGTGTGCGGCGAAGCTTATAATGAGAAAGTGATTAAAGAAGAACCATTTAAGATGGGTCAGACATTAAAAGGGAATTCAAAATTAGATATTAAATCCGAAAAAGAATTGATGGAGAAAAGAATGACGGAGCTTGAAGCAAAGAATGTTGATGCAGAGGCCTTGACTTCGGCAATGAGAGATTATGGAATTGAGAGGCTCTTTGTGGTCCTAATTTATTATATTGTGAGCTAGTAAGTTTTTCTAATATGAGTAAATACATTTATGATGATGATAATCATTCAAATTTTATAAAAAAGTGACAGAGCAAACTTGTATGGATGGCCAAAAACTTACGTATTCACAAAGGCAATGGGAGAGATGATTCTGTCAACTTATAAATGCAGTGTGCCCTTAATCATCATACGTCCTTCCATAATAACAAGTACAATCAAAGAACCCTTTCCTGGATGGATTGAAGGTTTCAGGTATGCAATTATTATTGTCACCATTAGAAAAAATTAATTGGCCAGTTCTTATAGTTTTACCCGAATTTTAATAACGTTCTTGTTGTTTATTTTATTGTGTCATTATAATTTATTCAATAATAAGCATTAGCTTACAGGCTTATAACCTGTTAATTAGTTTCTAATAGGATAAAGTTTGTTTTTGTTGTATAGCTGATATAAATGTTGATTAAGCAATAAATATAAGTTGCCATACAATACAAAATTTTTAAAAAATAGATATAACAGATGTGAAAAAAAATTAAAAGAAATAATGAGAATTATAAAAATTATTGCTTAGAAATACTACTGAGTAATATAACATTTTTCTAGTGTCACTACTACAGAATGAGAAATACTTAACGGTTATTTTGGGTCATATTTGACAATTAAAAATTGTCAAGTATATTTGCGTCATATATTTCGACAACTGATATTTGACGATTAATAACCATCAAATATTTGATAATATTTGATGGTGTTAAATGAATAACCGTCAAGTATTACTTGAAGAAAAACCGTTAAGTATTGTTCCTCAATACTTGACAGTTACCATTAAAACCATCAAGTATTGTTTCACAATACTTGACGGTTTTTCTTAGAAACCATCAAGTATTCATGAACAATATTTGACGGTTCTTAAAATTGTCAAGTATTGTGCAATAATTGCAAAGAATACTTGACGATTATTTTAAAACTGTCAAGTATTAGTATAATACTTGACGGTCCTACTATAACCATCAAATATAATTATAATACTTGATGGTTTTACGTAATAATTGTCAAGTATTATGAATTTTTTTTTTTTGTAATACAGGTTCTGCTTTGCCAGCAGCCTCCTTGTAATTATGAAACCTCATACAAAGCAGCATTATTCAACAGAACCAGGCCAACACTCAAACCAATAATTCAGCCATATGAATGTAACCACACGTATGAGGCAGAAATTTACATCATATACATCTTAATTAATAGGAAACCAACTGTCATATTAAAAGAAATTGTGTTTAAGGTAAGTAAAAATTCTAGACAAGTACAAAAGGCAAAAGCAAAAGGTGAAGCAAAACCAAAATTGGCCAATTGCCAAAGTTGTTTAATGCCAAAAACCAACAGCAAAAAATGAACCAAAACCAAAATTGAAACCAAAGCTATACATGTCTTCTACTTCCCTATCTATTTTGTGCCCATTGACGGTATAAGGCCATTGCCAACTCTTTAATGATTTCTTCTATCTGAGCAGATGAACACACTATGCAATATGTGTTAGCAAAGTACAATATGCAAACACAAATTATATTAAAGTTAGATATGAATGTAAAGCTATAGTAAGTACAATTCTTAAATATATAAATTGAACTTTAATACATGCATATTGCCTGCGTAGGGATTGTGTCAGCATTGTGCATAATTATCTCCTTCATGAATTTTATCAACCAATACCCACAATCAGAGCCCTTTTGGGCTGACGTGGGCACTATAAAGAATGGAAAAAGAAATAATATTAGTCAATCATATAAATAAACTATATTTAGTAGAATAGTAAATAATGGTAATGAATACCTTTACTTTCTTCCACGGGAAGGTATCGTTAAATTGGCAGTTTTTTATCAGGGGCAGGGTAAGGCTTGATTTGTGAGGTATAGCCACAAAGCCCTGAGAAGACAATAAAATTGAATATTAATGATTGTCAAAAATTATATTGAAGCAAGAAATTAAATTAAATTTAAATAATAGATATAAATGTTACTTATTGAATAATGAAACCATAAATGGTCGATTGGTTATATCCCCATGAAGAGAATCGAGATACCAAATCCTTGGCTTTGTGGGATTGACCACAATCAGCATCCAGTGTCCCTTAAGTGTAAGAAAGACAATTAGAACAATTACAAAAATATTTAAAAATAAAAGAATTTAAGGAAGTTCAGTATACTATCCTTGATAGTAAGGTGCTAAAAACAAAGTCTCCCTAGTCTTCGCTACCCTAGAAATGAAGATATCCACTAACTCTCTGGATAAGTCTTACTTCTTCATATCAGGTCCATGGGTAGCAAATGTGTGGGGGCTGATAATCTTGAACTTGTCATCAAGGCCACTAGGGAGTATAAAATTCTTGAAGAGATACCTAAATCAACAAACAAAGATATCAATAGAGTAATTGCTCAAGTACTTAAGTATTTAGTTAAGGTTTTAACAAATACCTGACGTAAAAGTTATAGGTATTTGTGCTAACCATTCCACGTGTCAGAATTTCTTTCAATACATCATTTGTGACGTACTCGGATGAGGGTTGATCATAGACCTCTGGCTTAAACTCTAAGGGAATCATAAAATCCTTGCCATGTTCTAATATGGCCTCAACTGCATATTCCTTAAGACATATTTGGATTATACCACTTGAACGAGCTTAGAGGGCTGCTTCTGTGGTGATGATAATGAGTGATCGCCTAATAGGCTCTTCTTCCCCTTAGACTGACAAACAGACTATTAGTAATTAAAACATAGTTTATTTTAAATCAACTGAAGGTTTCAACCTATAGATATATACCTTTGAAGGATGTCCTAACATAAGAAGACGGCCAAGCCAAGCAACAAAGCTACCCACTGCTTGAGCCACTGTCTGTGTATCTGCAGGGTGGGCATAATTAGGATCAATAGCAGTGTTCAACTGCACCTTCACAGGATCAGCGGGGAGAGGCACATTATGAATCATGCTCTCCCCCAGTAAATTGAACATGCGACTCGTTGCAACACTATGATGTTTAGGGCTATCCGCCATACACTGAATGTCTACTTCACCCTGACTTAATATAGGAGACAAATTAGTGTAATATGCAAATAATTAAATGTAATTGTATGAACACAATAAGTATTATACCTCAAGTAGCAAGAGGAATGTGTAGCTGTCTTTGGCACTTGGGCTGAGATTCGAAGCCGGCTGTGGTGCTTGTCCCTTGATCAACTGCTCGATTAGGAGTGCTTGTGCTTTAACTTGCTTCTTTAACCAGCGTGTTTCTTCTTTTAGCTCTATAAACTCAGCAGAGGAAGGCATGCATGATGAAGAGGGCTTTTGTCAGTACTCGAAATAATCCCTCTAGGTGACTCCATAACTGATGCCTCTAAGAAGACCAGGATGATTAGGAGTCCCCAATACCTTCCTCAATATATCCTTGTCATCTACAAAATATGCCCCCTGTGAAACTTCCTGGGACAAACTCTCCTATACAACAAAAATTGTTAGTATTCATACTTTAAGATATTGACAAGAATGTGAGGATTATTTAATTTAAAATAATACTCACCATCCTGTCTATGACCTCATTGACACTAGAATTATCAATTTGGCCATCTTTATTTTGCCTGGCCAATACCCACAGCATCTGACAAGATACAGTGACATCTGATCCCTCCTTTTGAGTCACCTCTTCCTCAAGGCCCGCATAACCTAAGCGCCCCTTTCGGTAGGGATATTCATTTTTCTTTACCCTTTCCTTATTTTGGGCGCTTAATTCCCACAAAAACAAAGTAGATTCACAATTAAACAGTATATATATTAAACAGAATGGACTATTTAATTTAGAATTATGTGAGGATTATTACTTGAAATTGACTATCATGACGTGACGTCGTAAAAGCAGCCCAATCCTCTAGTTTGACCAAGTCTTGTATCAAGCTAGGCACCTCGAACTTGTTGGTTCTGGACGGATCCTTCAAGTACTTTTGTGTCACAAAAGATCAAAAAAAGCGTAGTGCCCTCCTAGCCTTTCTCTCCACAAACTTCTTCCTACTCTCATCTATATCAAATCCATACTGCAAAACACATAAAACAACACATTAGTGTGAGGCAGCTTGTAAGAAAATGAAATTTGAGTTGTTATAATATATTACCGATACATCTGTCCAAATAGCGTTAAGTGATTCTAAGGATTCCTAAACACCACCTAAGGTAGTTTTTATCAAATCATGTTTCTAATCAATTACTAGACAAGCACTTAATTCATTTTCAAATTATAAAATTTCAGGCATAGATGGCGCTTTCTTCATTGCACAAGACATCACTTTTAGAAACACGGCCGGTTGTGAGAAAGGTCAAGCGGTGGCACTCCGATCAGCCTCCGACCTCTTTGTCTTCTACCGGTGCTCCATCGAAGGCTACCAAGACACTCTAATGGCTCATGCACAACGTCAATTCTAAAGAGACTGCAGAATTTTTGGTACAGTGCATTTCATCTGGAGCAATGCAGCAATTGTTCTACAAAACTGCAGGATTCTTGTGAGAAGGCCACTTGAAGGGCAAGCAAACATGATCACAGCTCAAGGACGAGGAGACCCATTTCAAAACACCGGAATATCAATAATGAATTCTCAAATTCGAGCCGCACCGGATTTCAAGTTGGTTTTACGCTCATTTGAAACCTATTTGGGTCGGCCATGGCAGCAATATTCTTGAGTAGTTGTCATGAACACGTACATTGAAAGCTTGGTGAATCTAAAGGGCTGGTCTCCGTGGGGTGATGGTAATTTTGCTCAAGATACGTGTTATTTTGGGGAATTTAAGAACTTTGGGGCCGGTTCATCGACCAAACATAGGGTGCAATGGCCTGGGTTTCATGTCATAACCGGTTCAAATGAGACAAACCGGTTCACTGTTGCTGGACTCCTTCATGGTCACAAATGGTTGCCTCGCACTGGGGTACCTTATAGTATGGGTGTTTAATAATTATATTTAACCTTTGGGCTTCCTACAGGGAAATTATACGTATTTGTCATTATATATTCTTTTATCAGTTTGTTTTGGGAATTCATTTAATTTATTACATTGTAATGTACGTGAAGATGTATGCATGCAATGTTCTATGATGGAATATTGGTGCTTAATAAATATAATACTAGATTAATTTTTCATGTTGTCGTCTTGTACATTTGTTCTTTTATTTGAGATCATATATATGGGAGATTCTTTGTAAAATTAAACTAGTGAGTCGGATATCAGTTTCAGATTATTTCAGAAACCAGTTTCAAAAACTTAGTTTATTTTGATCATTACATTTATTTCTTTGTCAATCTTTCGTCGTTGGCTAACTTCGTTTTACAAAATAAAATGATGTGATTTTGATTCAAATAATAGACAGACGTGCTAGGAATATTTTATGCACATAATGTAAATTATATCGACATATGTTAGCTTTTATAATAAGTCATCTTGGAAAATTTTAAATTTAAAGGACTTGGTTGTACGTGAGCTGATTCCAGTTATATATCTCTGTCGATATTTATGAGCAATTTATTTTATTTAGCCGACAGATATCCTTCTTCACACTACTCCTCCATATTCAATAAAACAAAGGGTGTGGACGAGAACAATAGCAAAATAAAATATATTTTTGTTAGGTACAATTATCCTTCTATTACAAACAATATGTTTGAAACACTATTGGGTACTAAAATAAATTGCTATTGTTTGCATTGAGAGGGTTGACATCATAGAGAGAGCTATAACTATAAGAAGTTTTGGCTAGCAGGAGGTTAAGTGAAGTGTCATAAAATGGAGCCACTACATCAGTGTCACAGGAGAAGTGGAGTTTATGAGTTTAAAAACCTCAACTTTTATGTCATTTTAAAAGTGCAAAATTTACTACCAAAGATCATAAAAATAAGTTACTATATATTTACTTTCTATAAACTATTCATGCCCTTAAAAGTTACATCCTGATTTGTCTCATTATTATAGAGATGTAGAGCATTTGCTATGTTATCCGTAGATGAATAATCCATTATTATAAGAATATTGAAATCAAGTCATGTAAATTTGGGTTGCAAGGCAAAGTTGTAGCTCAAGAAAACATTTACAAAAAATTCTCCATTCATTGTTTCAATAGATTTTTTGAAAAAAAAATTACAAAGGGGCAAATCTAACAGCTAGCAGAAACCAAGTGTGATTGAACATTCCATGGTTTGTCATTAGTGGTGGCAACTTGGTACCGCTAAGCTACAATGCTAATAGCTTCAAGAGGATATTTTGATTATTAATTTGCTTCAATCTTACAAATTATAACTCTTTAATGTTACTTCCTATTCACTTTTTCAATTGTCCATTTTTTACTCTTGTTTGGATAGAAACCAAACCATGGTTTCAGAAGTGCTTTTAAGGATTACGAAGTAAATATGTGGAGGAGATTACCTCGTTTTGCGGAAAAGTGCTTCTGAAACCACGGTTTTGGAGCACCCAAACAGGCCCTCATTGACACATAACTTGCAAACTTTACTGTTGGTCAAAATTATTGATTAATTAATCCACCAATAGTACATAGTTGGATTCATAAGTTAAAATTTTACGAACGAAAATATCCATAGTGAGATAGTTACCAGATTAGGATACAAAGTGAGTTTGAAGTAGTTGAATAAATACGCAACCTTTTTGACGCATAATTGGATTGTTACGTTTGATCTCATGTCAATAGAGGCCATCAAATAGATGCTGAAACTATCATTATGCAATACTGAGTCACTCTCTTCAAAATTTTCAATCTTAGGCTTTTAATAGCCAACTAGATAGTTCATACACGTTTTACATGGACTTATATTAAAAAAAAAAAGAAAAGAAATTGATAGTACCAAATAATTTACCCGAAAAAATATTGATTATTCAAAATCTTCTATTAATTATTAATTCTATTTCCGTTCCTTACTCTATAAACTACATGCACATGGGGATGGCCTTGATTTTCCAGTGTACGTGTGCTTCAAGAAAACGCATCCAATGTACGAGTCAAGTGCGATTCAATTACTCGTCACCCAACTAGAAATTGTTTCTTCATTATAAATAAGTAATGTATTGAACAAGTATACAACTATTATTTCTTAGAAACTATCAAGGTTTCTTAATCATTGTGAAATAGTTGTAGACTCCGCCAAATATTCGTACTCTTCTAACGTTAAAGAAACACTTTAGATAGACTAATTCTTCCCCTTTAGTCGAGCCGCCAAGCGTAGATTCAATTAATATATACTGATTTATTGGTTTAATTAATTTCTTAATCACTCCCTTAATTCCTAACTCAATCTTGAGACCACTAGTTGTGTGCTTACTTAATTAGCCTTTATCCAAGAAGTTGGGAATTTTTTGGGTCTGAAGAATTCCTTAACATTCGCTCTGTTTTTGTCATAAATTGATATTTGCTCTAAATATTAACTTGAAGCACATGCCGAAAGAAAGAGTTTTTTTTTATAATTTATAAATTATGGTGAGTTTAGTTGGCTTTTAGAACAAGTAACAACTTAACATTACCTTAACAGAGATTAGTCTTAAGTTCAGAGCAACTTGAGGATACTCTAAGTTATACCAAAACATAACAACGTTATAACTAATAAGCATATATACATATTAGAAGAGAATTAGTTAAAAATTTATATTCATAAATAATATTGGACTTAATAGTGATTAATTCATATGACATGTAAAATCAAATGTCTAGATCTTGACACCAATAGTTGAAGACTGTTTCTCATTAAATACAAATGTATTTCAGAATATATCTAAATTTGGCATCAAGCATATAAAAACATTTATTTAATTTTAACTGCGAAACATTTTCAGCTAATTTTATTTTCAAAATCTCCATTGGGAACTAGCATTCCTATTATATGTATCTCTGTCGTCATTGTTGACTTGATTAATTAATTAATTAATTCAGCCGACACATATCCTTCATCACACTCTTCAACCAAACTCCCTCCATATCAAGCCTTTGAATCTAATGTAAAGCACTATATGTATGTGTGTGTGTGTGTGTGTGTGTGTGTATTCCTAATTTAAAACACAAAGTCTCATACAAAAGAACCACATCGATCAAAACACATATGGCATCGAACATCATTGTTAAGCTGTTCTTCTCCCTCGCCTTATTTTCTTCACTTTTCTCCATATCCTCTTCATCAACAACATCATCTTCCTCCATAGATTGGTGGTGCAACCAAACTCCTCACCCTGAGCCATGCAAATACCACATGAACCACCATCACAACCGATTCAAACCGAACCACCAGTCCGAG